AGTGAACACATACAAATGGCCAAAAGGCACATGAAAAATGCTCAATATCACTAATTATCAGAGAAATGCAAATCAAAACTACAATGAGGTTCACCTCACATCAGTCAGAATGGCCATCATTCAAAAGTCCACGAATGATAAATGTTGGAATGGCTGTGGGGAAAAGGGAACCCTCCTACACTGCTGGTAGGAATGTAGTTTGGTGCAGCCATAATGGAAAACAGTATGGAGATTCCTCAAAAGACTAAAAGTAGACTTACCATATGATCCAACAATCCCACTCCCGGCATATAATCAGAGGAAATCTTAATTCAAAAAGACACATGCACCCCAATGTTCATAGCACTATTTACAATAGCCAAGACATGGAAACAACCTAAATGTCCATCGGCAAATGACTGTATAAAGAAGCTATGGCATATTTATACAACAGAATACTACTCAGCCATAAAAAAATAATAAAATTATGCCATTTGCAGCAACATGGATGGACCTGGAGGATGTCATTCTAAGTGAAGTAAGCCAGAAAGACAAATACCATATGGTATCACTTATATGTGGAATCTAAAAAAAAGACAAATGAACTTGTTTACAAAACAGAAACAGACTCACAGACATAGAAAACAAACTTATGTTTACCAGGGGGGAAGGGTGTGAGAAGGGATAAATTGGGAGTTTGAGATTTGCAGGTACTAACTAATATACGTAAAATAGATAAACAACAAGTTTATACTGTATAGCACAGGGAGCTATATTCAGTATCTTGTAGTAACCTATGGTGAAAAAGAACATGGAAATGAATATATGTATTTTCCTATATGACTGAAGCATTATGCTATACACCAGAAAATGACACAACATTGTAAACTGACTATATTTTGATAAAAAACATATTTAAAAAAAGAAATTAATGACACAGTCAGGATTATATAAACAGAACTGATCAATAAAATTCAAAATCTCTACAAAAGTAACAGAAAACATTTAGTGAATACCAAGTTTTGTTTTTATGATAACCTGCAATGCACTGAAAGAATCCAAAATGTAGGTAAAGGGAGGATTCTAAGACATTACTAATTTTTAGGAAATGCTATGACTCCATCTTAATTTGAATATACTGTTCCACAATTTGTATTTCTATTTCACTTTGTCACAGAGCTCACCTTCTTGGTATCCTAAAATTACAAAATTTCTCCTTTCTGAAATAAAAATCTAGATGTTGAACCGAAAAGTTTGCTATGGTTGAAAAGGAAGACCAGTGTCAAGAATATCAACTTTAAAGATATATCTACCAAAGAGTGATGCCTACTCGTGTTACAAACTTAAGCAAGGTGATTCTTTCTTCACAGTATTTTTTTTTCAATCTTGAATTTCAAAGTCATGTATTGGAATATATCACACAGTAAGAGTATTTTGAATTCCTTGAGCTGCAATGGGGTTACAATAGCAGCAAAGCTTCCAACGAAACTTTGTGGCTTTGGCCTTGATATCCAAGGACCCTATTTAGCTCAGACTTCCTTTCCTAGGTCATCTTACTTTGTGTAAGGTCAGTCATTCTTGGTTCTTTTGTATATTATCCTGCTACATAAGGAAGTGAGCATTTCAAACAATTTCCACCTTTTTTAGACTGTTGCTCACTTTTAATACAATTCAGAATAATTTCAACAATAGCAAATTTATGAATTCCCTTACTAGCATGAATTCTTTGCTGATTAATAGTTTTCTCGAGTTCTCTTCTCAGTCTGACTTCTGCTCCATACTTTCCAACGGTGCCATCATCCACCAATATGAAATGCGAATGTAGATTATTCAGAACATTCAGTTTGCTCAGAGGGTTCAATAAGGTTTGATAAGGAGCAATCACCTAAACAACAGCAAACATAAGAGTTAGTGGGCAGAATTGAATATAATGTAATGTAAAGCAAAAATAAATTTTGAAATAATCTGTAAAGGCGAGGAGGAAAATTCTATTTATGCATGTCAACAAATAGAAAATGTAAAAGAACATATCACCCCCAGGTGACACCCCCCTTTTAGTTGGTTTTAGTTGCTCTGGGGGGAAGAGGGAAGATAGAGGTGTTCTTATAGTTATTTGTTAAAAAAAAAAAAAGAAAGGAAAAAATTATATATCAAAAAGCATAAGCTTTAAAGTGGCTGAAGATTATTCAATAATAGGCTAAGCCATACAATTATATTTTGGCTCTTACTGCAAAATATACAATATTTCATCATCCCATGCAAAAGAAGAGGTAACAAATAAACAATTTGAATAAACTATTAGGTTACTAGTGAATAAAATGCAATATATAAAGGACACTGAATAAAAGCAATCAAATGTTATATTGCTATTTTTTCAGCCATGAGAAGAATCTTTAAAATTGGTATCAGAAATTTAATTGTACTTGAAAGTTAGGCATTATAATTTAGTAATTCTTTTTAATAATCTCTTGATAAATATCTATAACCAATTCACATGTCTTTAACCTACTCTAATAAAACACCAGCATTTGATTACCACTCTTAGTGATAATACAATTAATTCTTAATGTCATACAGTCACTAACAGTTTAATTACAAAGACTGGCATGATATGGAAAACGCATGAAATAGCTATAGGGCTGTTTCAAAATGTACTAGCAATATAATGACACAATTATTTATATCTATGACTGCATTTCTGAAAGGATTGTGGCATGATTATGAGCATTTTAAGTTGACTTCACACTATTGTTGCTCTAAGTTTTTTTACATATAAATTCAAATATAAGAAATTTTAATAAGCACTCTTACATCTCTCCCAACAAGATCATTTCTGTTTTCAATTACTCCCCATGGAGCTATTCCGATAGTGCAAATCTTTCGAGATGATCTGGAAGCATGTTCTTTAAGGGCATCACCAACATGTTTTGCCACACCTGTTCATACAAAATTTAACTCACTTTATATGAGTCTTTATTGTGTTCAGAACAATCCTGTGCTTAATCTGTAACACTACAATTTGTGATATTTTTCTTTACACATACAAGATAAAAGGCAACAAAGTCCAAATGACAAACTCACAAAAGAAAACACAAGGACAAAAAGAAAAAAAAAAAAAACCCACAAGGTCAAATCACTACAACTGCCTGAAATACATGTAAAACTAACTTTTACCATGTTGTTAGGCCTAGTCCTCTCTTAGATTCCTCATGTAACTGTAGTTTTTTGTTAATGCTCTATACATCATCTAAAAAAAAGAAAAGTATGGCTCAGGACTATAAGCAAAATATACACAAACGAAAAAAACAACTATAAAAGTTTTCCAACTGAGTCAAAAATTGGGAGAAAAGTAGAAAAGATAATTCCAAAGAGCACATAACTCATTATAACTCGTTATAGGCTGGACTGTATCCTCCCCAAAATTCTTATGTTGAAATCCTAATCCCAATACCTTAGAATGTAACTATTTCTAGAAACAGGTCCTTTAGGTTATCATGTGAAAATGAGGTCATTAGGGTGAGTCCTAATCCAATCTGACTGGTGCCCGTATACTAAGGAAAAATTTGGACACTTTTAAAAGAGATACCAGGGATGCACATACACAGAGGAAAGGCCACAAAAGGACACAGTGGGAAGGTGGCCATCCAGAAGTCAAGGAGAGATGCTTCAGGAGGAATCAAACCTGCTACCATCCCGATTTTGGGTCTCTGGAACTGTAATAAAATAAATTTTTTTCTTTTGTTTTAAGCCACCCAGTCTGTGGTATTTTGTTATGGCAGCCCTAGCAAACACAACACTCATTTTGATTTTTGTAAGCCGTTACATCTCATCCTTCATGTGGATTATGAAAACAGCCTTTTCACTGATCTTCTAACGGCTGCCTTGCCTGTTTACACTCTATTTTCAAATCACCATCCAAGTGACTTTTGCTCTAGTCAACTCTGCTTAAAATCTCCCATTTCTCACTCAGAATAAAAGCCACAGTGCTTACAATGGCTACAAGGCCTTAAATAATGATCTGCCTATTGCCCCTGCTATTCACCACACCACCCCATCCCTGTCCTGCCACCACAACCCATAACTTTCTGACCTCATCACCTAGCACTCTCTACTCACTATACTAGACTTTATTACTATTCCACCATTTGCTGTTTCGTCTACTTAAAAAGCTCTGCTCTACGTTATACTTCTCTTGTTCCCCTCATTTCCTTCCACCTCTTCTCAAAAGTCACCTTATCAACATATCCCCCTTCACTATCCCTCACTATCCCTCCTCTATATTTTATGTGTCTCCATAGCACTTATCACTTAATATATTATACATTTAGTTATCTGTTGGCTACATCTTCTCCACTAGAATATAAGCTCCATGAATGTAAATATTTTGTTTTGTGGAATGATATATTTTCAGTAGCCAGAAGAATGTCTGACACACAATGAAGTTTAAAAAACAGTTGCTGATAATGTACTAGATTTTTGTAAAATAATTATGTTTTACTTTGGATATTAAATTTGCCTTCCTTATATCCAACCTGTATATGTGATAGGGAAGGCTTAGAATGAAAGATTATAGTATATTAAAAGCTAATTTTGAAAGCTACTTTTTATACTGTCTAGGAAACAGATTGCCATTCTTCTATCAATTTACCAGTAGTCACAAAGTGACAGGCATTAAGACTATGCTCTACAGTGGGGTCAGCAACCTTTTTTGTAAAGGACCAAATAGTAAATACTTGGTTTTGCAGGGCATATAGTCTTTGTCACAACTATTCATCTCTGCAGTTGTAGCATAAAAGTACAATACAAAACAATACAAACACAAATGAGTGTGGCTGTGTTCCAATAAACCTTTATTTACAAAAAAAAGGAGTAGGCTATATTTTGTGAATAGGACATAGTTTGACAACTCCTGCCATAAAGCATACTACTTTTTTTTAAAAGAAAAAATGAAAACCAAATACTTTTACAGTTAGCATTTATACTTAGAAACTGTAGATTACTTAACAGAAGAACTGAATATATTTATTCACCAAAGAAAATTGGTATAAACATATTACCTGTGTTTACTCCTCCAGTTAAAATCCAGGCTCCAGTTGTGACTGCAGCTTTAATAAGACCCTTTCCAAGTAACTGCTTGATTCGTGGGTGAAGCTCAAATTTCTGCATTCCCCCGTGTATAGAAATAACAAGTTTGGGTAATTCCATTTGCCATTCTTTAAGCAGAAGTTGTAATATGACTTCAGGTTTGGTGTCATATGATAGTCTCACATACTAAAAAAGATTTAAAAAAAAATTGAACATTCATCAGTATCATAATACAAAATTTTATTACTTTGAATGCGTTACTCTTTGTTTTTATATAAACCTAATTACCATTCACTTGATTTATAAATTTATCCATAGTATTTATAGCTTTGTTTAACCATGAGAATCCAGTGAAAAAGTGTTAAGGATAGGTACGATGATAGGAAAAAGGGAAAATAAGAGAAGAATGGTGAAAACATGTAGGCTTCTACAACTCTTGCTACTTTCTAAGAGAGGCAAATAATAAATGATCTGTTTGAAAATTTTATCAATGATCTAATCCATTTATAATAGAATTGCAACCATGTAACAAAATAACAAAGATATTTTTAATATAAGTGACTGTTTCCTTCACTGGAATTAATTGTGGATTTGATTCACAAATTACTGAAAATAATAAATTTAGTATTATAAGGTGCTCAGATGGATTCAGCAGTTTAATTTTTGAAAAATCACTCTACAGGAAATAAGCTATCACATTTGTGGAATAACCTCTTCTGGTTTGAAAGATTTTTAAAAAATTATTTCTGTTAAGTGACACCACAAAACTTACTTGCTATGATTACTTCAATTTATTTTGTTTGTCTGAAGCACCTATGATTTAGCTCATAAGAAATCTAAAATATTCAGATGTTGAAAGAAAAACAGTTTTAATCCTCTCCAATAGGGGTTCTTTAAAAACAACATATTGCCCATTTCTTCACAAATAGAGATCAAACGCAAATGAAAAACAAACCAAAGTATCACAGAATACGAAACTGAGAAGGGCCCCTTAAGAATGATTTGTAATGAGGTATGTTCTATACTAAGTCTTTCCACATTACTTTTGTTTAACTCATTGTTATACTCGGGTACATTAAGTAGTGTTTGGAAAACAATCTAAAGTTAACACTTTTTTTTTTTTTAAAAAAGATTATGTTAGGAATAAGTGAGGAATTCCATTTCCAACAGTGATGGACTAAGTCGTTTTAGACTATCTCTGCCCCTGGGAACTAGGGAAACTAGAAGATAGATAAATAACATCTGTGTTAAGGCATGAGAGAGCTACCAAAGCAGTGAGAACTTGTGGGATCAGGATTCAAGAGAGTAGAAAAACTTGGAGAGACAGGCCCACCACTTGACACTGCTTTCAAATCAAGTTGCTAAGTCTAAGTGAAAAATAATTATGTTTTGGAGGTTTAAAATACATAAAGAAATAAAATTCATGCCAACAAACGCACATAAGTTCTGAGGGAAATAAATGTAGTCACAAATATTCTAAAAGTTCTTGCACTGTCCAGGAAGCAGGAAAAGTACTAATTTATAATATTAACAAGCTAAAAATGCATTTTATAGTGTTTATTATAAGATTAATATAAATAATAGAAAAAGAATGTGTAAGTAAGATGCTAATAAGGAAGAAAAGAAATAATATTGAAAAGTTGAAAAGTTAAAGGGAAGAAAGTTAAATGATTTCAGAAAAAGCAGATTTTGTCAACAAAAATAACGAGAGAGGTATTTCATAATGATAAAAGGTTCAATTCACCAAGATACAACAACTCTCTATTTGTATGCACTTATACATAGAACTTTAAAATATAAAGAAATGACTGAGACTAATTTTCTGACACATTACATAAAATGTCAGATAATAAATGTGCATTATTTAGATAACCAGATAAATGAAGTTAAAAACTCACATACGTGACATACCTTAGCTCTGTAGGAGTGAGAACCCCCTTGAAAATTTATGACTCCATAAGCATCCGTTGGGCTCTGTTCTGTATGCTTTTCCACGGACCACTCTTCTAATGTCGGATTAAAATGGTCACCCAATTTCACATCTGAGTATTTCATTGCAAGACTTGCAGTAAAACAAGCATGTTGCTTGACCAAGCGACCACAAAAACACCTAAAGGAAAACAAGGAAATTTTGAAAAGAACTTTCAAAAATTAGTCAGTGAAAAACGTACTAAAATGAATGAGCCAATGAAGAGCGTGAAAATAATCTGACTTTTTGGTTTGAGAGTGTCAATAAATTAATACCTTCACCATAGCATTAAAACAGTATAAATACATTAGTATTTGATAATGTAGTCTTCTAAATTTAGGTTGGGGATTCTACCTCCTACTGGATGGGCAAAACAGCATGTTGGAAATTGCAGAAATAAGGGTTAGTGAACCAGAAGACAGATGAATAAAAATGATCTAATTTGATAAGTGGAAAAGATTTTTAATTAAATAAAAATAAAACAGGGCTTCAGTGATCTGTGGAAAACACCAAGTAATCTAATTTATGTATAACTAGTCTCAGAGGGAAGAGAGACAGAGAATAGGGCAGAAAAGCATTTTAAGAAACAATGGCTAAAAACTTCTAAGTTTGGTGAAAAATATGAACTTGTAGATATTTATGCAAGAAGAATAACTGCAATGAGAACCACTCTTAGGTACATTATAGACCTGCTGTTGAAAACCAAAATTATAGGGGAAAAAATATTTTAAACAGCTGGAGGAAAAAAGACCCTTTACACACAGAAGAACAACTACACTAATGACAGCTGAATTCTCACTAGAAACAAGGCTAAAAGACAATATGATGGAATTTTTAAAGCACTGGAATGAGAAAACTGTCAACCCTTCAAAATATCCTTCAAAATGAAAGTGAAATAAACATATTTTCAGATAAACCAAGCTGAGAAAATTCATCTCCAGCATATTTGCATTATACCAAATGTTGAAGAAAGCTCTTCAGCCTGAATGGAAAGGCACCAGATGGAACTTCCCATGTAGAGGAAGAAATGAATAGGACTGAAGATGGTAAAACAACTTAATATATCTAAATGAACTCATTCTGTGCACTTTTGTTCCTAGCCTAGCAACCAAAGACCTTCTCATCTTCCTCTTACATTCCTTCATCAGATCTTAAGAACAACATTACTATTTACTTGCTGCCTAAGTAAAAAATTTAGGTCCCATCTGCAAATCTTCCCTTTCTCTACACATCCACCAAATCTACTGAGCTTATCTGATTAATCCCTTCAACATGCCTACTTCTCTTCATCACCATAGCCAGTATCTTAATTTAGGCTCTCATTTTCTACCAGAATTACTCCATAACATTCCAAACTATTTTTTTCTCCCAATTCATTCTACTCAAAATGCCAACTGCTTTTATTGAGGAAAAAAAAAAGAAAATCTGAGTCTGTTACTTTCCTATATAATATCCTTTTAACATGAAATCAAAACCGTGTGGCATGATATATGAAGAGCTTAAATGATCTGGCCCTACTTACTTCTCTAGACTTAGATCTCTCCAATAACCATCTTACATTCTACAGTTTCCTGACAAAACCATAACCACTCTCATTGCCAGGCATTCCCACACTCTGTTCTCTCTGCCTAAAATCCCTTTCCTTCAACTATTACCCAGTTAATTCACATACAACTTTAGAACTCTGCTCAGGTATTTTCACTCAAGTTTCAAGCAGCCTTGTCTGATCCTTTACTTCCCAAGTCTGAGTAAAGTAACTCTTAAATATAATGGCTAGTAAATTTTATCCCAATTTTAACTTAACATTTTTTAATTTATTAGTTTTATTTTTCAAAATTTGAATAACAGATTTATGCTATGAAACTCACCTGACGAGTTGCTGACAAATTTGACATCCTGGAAGGCATCTATAAAACAAGGTAAATTTATTACTCAAAGGAAAAAAATCTGTTTTAGTTTAAACTAAACTATATAAAAATCCACATAAAAGTGCAGAACAAAGGAACATTATACACTTAAATTTTTCAACAGCTACCATAGATCATTTATACCTTAATGTATACATGCAAATGACTCGTTTTTAAAATTCATATAGTTTTCATATTTCAAATACAATTACCTGTGACACAAAATCCAGAAACTAAGAAGATTTATAGATTTAACTACATAAATATATAACATTTTTATGTGGCAAAATATGTCACTAATAAAGTCTAAAGATAAATTGAGAAAAATACTGACAGACAAAAGTTTAGCTTTCCTAATACAGAAAGAGCGTCATCAAATCAATATAGAACAATGTATGAACAGGTAAGTCACAGTAAAAAAAGAAATGCATACGAAAAGGCATTTGATTATAAAAAAATTCTTTTAATCTTTTAAGACAATATCTTGGTGAGAATACAGACAAAGTAGTCTCATATCTGCTGGTGGGAAAATAAACTGATCATCTCTCCATGGAGAGGTATTTGGCAATACTTATCAAAATAAAAAATGCAGACTCCTTCTCAAACTCTAATTCTAGTACTAAAAGTATAGTCCAAAAAATATCTGTAGCATATGTGTAGAATGATTAATTTACAAGGTTATTCACTGCAGCATTTGTTTTCTGATAATAAAAGGTAACAGAATAACCAGAATGTCCATCAATAAAGGACTACCAAAACAAATTATGACCCAGACATACAATTTAAAAGGATCCAATAATTAACAACAAAGTGTTTATTGCCAAGTTAATAAACACAATGGCTAAACAGTAAGTATTTAAAAGGGGAGAGGAAGGAATAAATACACATCTCCTTGGAAATGCAAAGACTGTATCTATTTCTGGAAGGGATTCTAAGGAATAGGTAACATCAGTTTCCCTTTGGAAGGGGAGCTTATAGACAAGGCACAGTGGTAGAATGGAGACTTTCACTTACAAATTTGGTACCTTGTAAACTGATGTATTAACCTACTCATATAAAATTAATTTTAAATTCAACTAGTGTAGAAATGACCAGCTAACAGTGTTCATAAAATACGCCTCATATGGATGACTATAGCCAAGGATATTTAATAACAGCTTGAGATTTAACACCTAATGAGAACTTGTATTATTTCTACTGCAAAGTAAAATTAACAAAATTATAGTAAATAAACTCTAATAATAAAATCTATGTTTTAATAAAGCAAAACCATAATTTTCTCTCAATGAAAGAACAAGACAGTCTTATTTTAGAACTGGCACACTAAACTAAGGAGACCTAAATTCTAATCCCATCTTTATGATTAGCCATATGACCCAGGAAATGTCATTTATGCTCTCTGGTTAAGAAATGTGATGTTACCTTTAACAAAACATATCTTTAATAATTAGTAAGAAATTCAAATAAATCATAGAATAATGATTGGAAGAAACATTAGGTTATCTATTTTAATGATCTAAAAAGATATTTACAGAAATTACCAGAAAGTGAGGGATTACTAAAGAACATAAAAATGTTTTCTCAATAATAATGAAATAAATGCAAATTAAAAACATATACTATTTTATACTCATCATTTTTTCTTGAAGATGATGAAAAATGTTATATTCAACATTCAGGCATTCTCATCACTACTGGTGATAATGCACATTCTTTAATCCTTTTGGAAAACTTTTTGGCATTACATATACTAAGTGAGAACAAACTTTAAATACAAAAGAAGTTTTATCCACAAAGATCTTCATTATGATCTATTTTAATTTATAATGGTTAAATATGGAAACAACTCAAATGTCCAATAGTGAAATTGTGGTACATACACTAACAGAATATTAACCACCATTCTTGTAAAATATCTTATTATGAAAAATATAATTACTATAACATTTTATTAAGAAGTAGATATATTTTACATATAGACTGAATGTAGCAGTAATTTAAAACAAAAGCTATGCATTGAGTAAAGATTAAAAATAACTGCACCAAAATTTTATTTTAATGACAACTGTCTTCATGTATTTAAACTCTTGAGCACTGAGCCAACTTCCAGATTCTCAATAGTTTCCAAAATTGATCATGCACACTACTCTTCTAGTGGAAATCTCTTTAAGTGAGAGATATATTCAAATTAGGCTTTTGGCCGGGGCTTGGGGGCCAGGGTTTAAAGAGAAATGTGGAATTCAAATAGCAGATTTATGTAATGTAACAAAAGGTTTAGAAATTCTATTCAACCCACTATGGACAATAACAATGACAGGTGCTATAATTTAAAATACATCAATTAATAAAAGATTAATTATTTGGCTATATTTTTATAAGGGCCATATATCAAATGGAAGTAAAAGTTGCAGAGAAGGTAACTGGGTAGAGAACAAGGTTTGATAGGAAACAGGAAAAGTAAGAAGATTAAAAAATCTTGTAAATGCCTTTGTCAATTAATTTTTCCTAAGTGATTGTGAAGAGAGATGCTCCGTAGGCTATGAAATAACTGTGTTTTTGATTTACTCCTTTAAGGTTTTTCTATTTTTAGGTCTCAGAAAACAGAAAAATTTTAGGAAAAACATTGCTTCAATAAATACTTCAAGAGGTCAACTTTTTCTTGAATTTAAGCTAATGTTCTTTAAATTTTTTTCTATTATCAAAGCCATTTTGAAGAACAAAAGATATCAGAGATGCCTACAATATTTCTGATAATAGATTTTCCAGTAGATGCTGATCTACAGCTATATTTTGGCAAACAAAAACAGCAACTATTAGATTCACAGTGTTTCTTCAGCATAAACCATAGTGTTGGGTACTTAATAGATGCCCAATAAACAGTGACACAAACATATTTTTAAGTTCTCAATATCAGTGAATCAATTAAAAAGAGAGCCTAAACTGTCTTGTCTTTGTAATACACTAGGTATGATGTAATGGGATGGATGAACACTCTGAAGAGGTTTTATGTTGTGAAATGTCATTAAGAACTCCATAATACTGATACCTTGCTAATGATGCCTCCTTTTCCTAATCTTAAAAGAATAATTAACAGTAAGCACAAAAATTAACAGTAACTACCAATAATTTAATAATTTTGGTTTTTAATAAATAAATAGCAATATAACTTACATATAAGTTTCTAGAAGAACCCAGCAAGAAGAAGTATGCTTACCTGTGAGGGTCTCTGGAACTTGGTATAATATATACACATTCCCTCTTGGTCAAAGTGCTTTCTATCCAGGACTTCTGGGACTAAAAGACAAAGTTTTAGAAGATGGTTTATAAATTAATCCACTAATATTACAAGAAAATAATTTAATGATAAATGCACAGAAAGAAATAGTTCTACACTATTTAATTTTTTTCAATACACTAAATATTTGTACTACATGTTTACAGATGACAGCACATCTAAAATACTGGAATAATTCCATTTAAGTCCAGTGGATTGAGATTACTAAATCAACAGCACTGTGCAGAAACTGCTGCTTCAAATAACCAGAGAGGGGTAAATCAAGTTTGAGATTCCTACAGTAAGTCAAAAACCTCAAGAGGAGGGCTAGTGTCATCCTGGGAAAAGGATCACCTAAAAGCCAATTAAAAATGATTATCAGATTTAACTAAAAAAACTAAATAATGCCTAGCTATATTATATTTCTAAGATAAATACCTAAAGCATAATGACATAAAATGGCTAATGGCACAAGGACAGAAAGAAATTAAGCAAATTCTATACAAAAGAAAGATAATACTAGAAAAAATATGCTCAACACCAACAGGGAGAGTGTAGGCTGTTACACAATTACAAATGTTTAATTCATCAGATTGCTTAACAGTCTTAAATATGAATAACCGAAGAGTCTCAAAATGCATAAAGTCAAAAAATTAATAGGGAGAATAAGACAAATCTAGGATCATAATGGAAGGTTAACACATTTCCCTCAATTTCTATGAATCTGAAATTATTTCAAATTTTAAAATTTCTAAAAATTAACTTTTTATACTACTACTAAAGTTTCTGCCTAGATCCCTAGATTCTGTATCCTGCTACTAGTCTGACTGATTGAAAAGGAATGAGGCATTATGTATTGAGATAAGTGAAACTCCATAAATTAGGGCTGTGTAGATTAATGACCTTGAGCTCCATCCTCCAAATTATATATATAAATTTGCAGGTTCCTCGCAAATCATCATGTTTCCTAATCATAAACCTTAGTCTATCCCCTAATCCTCTAATTCTGGTTCCAAAGTTCTCTCTCCATTTAAAATGTCCATTTCCTTGGTCAATGGTTCTTTAGATTGATTCATAGGTAAGGAGCAAATTATATCATGATCCCCTAGTTACAAAAACCACAGGATGCCCTCTGGAACCTAGGGCCCTTCATCAGCAAAATGTCCTACACGCCAAAGCGCATTTAGCACAGTCTCTCCATCACTTTCTTACTCTAACTAAAGTCTGGTATTCCTTTGAAGAATCTTCTTTCTCCACATACCTTTCGGGGGCGGGGGGGTGAATTGGAATCTCTCTAGCTTTACTGTACTAGGAATACACCAGGCAAACATAACCTTGATTCAATCCAATTCCCCACCTATTCCATAAGGGCTTATGTACTATTAATATGACTACAGAACAAGCAAAACAATGCCTTCTGGTTTCACTTTAAAACCCTGACCACAAACCTCAAATGCCCCTTAAATGATACCCAACAATCACACTGTATTTCCCCGGTCCATTTTCTCATTCTCTTGTATGATTTCACACCATCTCCTTCTCTCCTCAAATCTCCAACCCTCCTTCCCCATTCTAACTCTCAACTGATGACCTACTTCCCATTTCACTAAGAAAACTGAAGCAACAAGAAGAGAACGTCTACATACTTCTATCATATCTGTCCACCAATGAGTATGCATCCCCACTTTGCCCACACGTTCCTTCCTGTGACTATGTTCCTTTTCAAGTCCAATCACTCCTCTTGTGTCCTAGATTCCACACCCTCACTAACCCTCCACCAATTCTCACTTAATTTCCCCCTCTTCTTTATTAACTCATTCCCATCAGCATTCTATTATTCTCCCCATTTTAAACACCACAAACCTTTTTTTTTTCAACTGAAGTGTAGTTGGTTTACACTGTTGTGTTAGTTTCTGGTGTACAGCATAGTGATTCAGTTATACATGTGTGTGTGTATATATATATATATTCTTTTTCATGTTCTTTTTCATTACAGGTTACTACAAGGCATTTAATATAGTTCCCTGTGCTATACAGTAAGACCTTGTTGTTTATTTTATATATAGTAGTCTGTAACTGCTAATCCCAAACTCCTAATTTATCTCTCCCCAGCCTTTCCCTTTTGGTAACCATATGTCTGTGCCACAAGATATTGAATATAGTTCCCTGTGCTATACAGAATGAACTTGCTGTTTATCTATTTTATATATATATTAGTTAGTATCTGGAAATCTCGAACTCTCAATTTATCCCTTCCCACCCTCTTCTCCCAATGGTAACCATAAGTTTGTTCTCTATGTCTACGTCTGTTTCTGTTTTGTAAATAAGTTCATCTGCAGCATTTTTTTTAGGTTCCATAAACACCACAAACTCTACTTGATTCTACTTGCTCCTCAAGCTAACACTCCACGTTTCTGCCTCCAACGACAGTAAAGATCATTGGAAAAACTGTTTCCCTTTTATCTTCTCTTCCCACACTTTCTAAAACCCACTCCATTCAGGCTTTCAAGGCAACCTTTCTCCTGAAATAAGCCTCAACAAGATCACTAATGACAATCTCTGAGTCCAAATGTCAACTTACAGGACTCATCTCCATTGATACGACAGCAACATTTAACAAAATCCATCATTGTCATCTTCTTAAAACAGTTTCATCAGTTAGTTTAGTTTTCGTTTTCTCTTCACTGGCCACTCCTTTTATCTCCTTGCTGATTCTTCCCTCTTCTCCCCAATCTTTGGACTTCTTTCTTTAATTATATTCACTCAGACTTTGGACTTCCTTTTTCCAATTATACTCACTTTTTCAGTGCTCACACCCAGTTTACCATCAATACACTAGATGACTCTCTAATTTACGTTTCCATGTCAGATCTTTCCCTGAACTCCATGCTCACATATCCACCTGCCTACTCAGCAGCTTCATTTAGATGTCTAACAGGCATCTCAAACTTAACATGGCCAAAATTGAGAACTGAGATCATCTTTCATCCAGACACTTACTTCTCATGAAGTCTTCTCCATCTTAGTAAATGGCAACTCTATTCTTCAATTTTTTTTTTCTAAGGCAAAAGATATGGCCGTGTCAGACTGCTGGTTCATTATTGCTACTCTGGCCCCTTCTCCCACTCTGTGATAGTACACTGAAACCGGGCAGCATCTGGACCTGAAGACAAGTCATTTATTCATGTGACTTCTGTTTGTAAGTTGAAAAAAAATATCATTTGGTAGTGTTGCTCCGACACATGATAATGTGAGGCTGAATTTCTATCAAAACCAACTTAATCTAAAGTTTTAAACTCATGAACTTTTCATTGAGCTCCTATTATTTAAAAATGCAGAATTTAGGGGTGGCACTAAAATTATACTGTTTGATTTGTCATTTAAAGGGTTGCTTCTCTTTAGAAAAATTGGAACTGGTTTGTAAAAAAAAAAGTAGATTTGTGGTTGTACTTACTATTATATTTTTTACTGGTTGTTTGTTTATTAATTAATGAAATTCATATACAGATAATAAAAAGTGAGGCAAAGATTTGTTTGGAATTTCTCCCTGTGAACTTTTCTGAAAACAAATGGCAATGACCACATCTAACATATTCAGATAACCTACTGAAATAATGGAAATATACATTGCTCTAGTACCAACTAAATAGTTTTTATTTAACTAAATCATTTGCAGTTCATGAGCATACACCTAAAGCTTACAATGGGAATGAAAGATAGGCAAAAGGTGAATACAATATGAGAACATTTATTAACTATAATACAGTGGACGTTTCTAAGGAGTTCTGTTAAATAACAACTACTTGACAAAATAAGAAAATGTCTTGGGGGAAGACCTGGAAATATATAGGAGTAAATATATGCTATGAAATGCAGCCTTGTACAATTTAAATTCTCTTTTCTTCCCATCTTCCTTCTCTTGATAGGACAATTAGGAATAAACTGCAAACAAGCACAAGGGAAATTTGTGACGTGATAGGAATGTTTAAAACTGGGTTGTGGTGGTTATAAAACTAAATCTATTAAAAACCATCAAATGTGTATACTTACAGAGGGCAAATTCTATAATTTGTGTAATATTCCACAATAAAGCTGTTTAAAAGGTAGGGTAGGGTTACAAGACATGTAAAACAGAATGAGGAGGTCAAATGTATGTTTAATCAGAGTTCCAGAAGGAGAAAAGAGAAAGAATGGCCAAAGACTTAGACAAAGAAGTTACAAAATTGTCCAAAGTCACACAGTTAATAGTTTATCCTGGCTCTAAAGTCTCTACCAGCTTTTTTAGAGAAATTTAAGATAAGCATTTCAAAGTCACTCCATGATGATATGCATTAAATAAGCACCTTTCTTACATCTTTCTTGAAACTACTGTGTAGAAATATATTAATCACTCTCAAAAGGGGAATGCCTATGTGATCACTCTGCATATAATTTTCTGAACATGGAGAAAAACAAAAAGGGAAGAAGGACTAACATATCTTTCCTAAAAGTTATTAATAGTTAACTACTGCTAATCAGTATTAGCTTTTTCTCTTTTCTTTCTCCAATTCTGCTCCCACCAATAGTCTGCCTGAAGCAACTCTAACTATAGCTTTTTAAACCCAGGTGAGGATAAGGATGGAAGAATCAGATCAACAGATTTCAAAACTGACTGTTCTACAGCAATGAACTAACACCATAGTTAAGTCTAAATGTCAGCCTGCAAAACTTTGGATAGTTATTAACTGAAATACTCATAAAAATGAATCAAAGGTATACACTTTTCATAGCTTACATCTTCCTAGTAAATGTAAATAAAAATATTTTTCCTGACATTTTAAGTTAAGAGATAGTTACATACAGAAGGAAAACAAATCCCAAGTAGCATTTAACATACAGAATGATCAGAGCTCTCTTTAGGAAGGCTAATCTGGCAAGCAGACAAGTAAAAGTAAGCTAGAGCCACCAAACAGTGTTTTAGAGAGGGGCAATGGGAGCCTGGACTAGTAAAGGAATGGATACAACATATAATTTCTAAATC